TTTAAAAAAAAAAAAAAAAAAGAAATGCTGGATTAGGAAAAGAAGACTACAAAAGGAAAAACAATGGAATTATAAAAAGTGCTAAGTCCAGAAAGAGTCAAGAAAGGAGAGAAAAAGAAACAGAACAGGTAGGAAAAAGAGAAAGCATAGAAGAATTAAATTCAAATATGTACGTTATTATATTAAATGCAAACAAAATCAACTATATGCTATTTAGAGAAACAGTATAAAATGTAGGTTGAAAGTAAAAGAATGGAAAAAGATGTATCTGTGGATACTTAAAAAACGTCTGTGGCTATGTTATGCGGCATGAGTCAAGATAGACTTTAAAGAAAGTGAAGACAAGGCTGTTTGTAGCAATGGTTTTCCATACAAAGGGGAAACAGAGGCATAGAGGGGGGAGGCGATGGCCACGGCCTGAGTCTAGAGCAGAAGCAAACGGGGTGATGCCCTGAGTTTTCCTGCCCTGTCTGTGCAGAGTTTGCACCTGCGGGTGGCCTGGTGGGAATTCTCCCCTGTGGCCCAGGATTTTAGTCTGATACAGGATTCCCAGGAGTCAAAGGGGAAGCAGCCCACTGGGTGCAATGGCTCGAAAGAGTGACTGTGCAGCCACCTGGTGTAGGGTGGGGAAAGGTATCAGGGAGCCAGGAGCCTACTTGGTCCCACTGACCAGGGGCGTGAGTTTGGTTAAACAGATCCAATCAGCAGGTGGACACTGAATTCCTAACCTTAAAGCCTCCTGCAGGACTGTGAGTGGACAGAGTAGTTAATAGTCATGTTTGCCCTCAAGGAGCTCAGTCTAGACAGGGGGCAGTCTACTCTAACCAAAATAAATATTTTGAGAACCAGCTGACCTAGAGGGCTTCCCTGGCTGCTTCTGACCAGCTGCCATTTTGACTACTTCAGACCTGGGCATAGAGGGCTAATGACACCTGTGTGTGCATGGTGGTATCTTAAGAGTTTCAAGTAACAGTGGTTAGCATGCTCCCAATTTTCAGATCTAAAATAGCATCCTTTGTCACATATTCCTCATCCTCTTCTTACCCTCTTTGATTTTCTTCTCAGCACTTAATACCAGCTGCTATTCTAATTTATGTCTGTTTGCTTATGATCTGTCATCCCCTCTAGAGTGTAAGCACCACATGGGCAAGAACTTTGTCGGTTTAGTTCACTCTCTCTCCAGTGCCTAGAGCAGTGCCTGGCGCTGTTGAAGGAAGAAGGACTTTGAGGTTGACTTGTGCCAGGTACTATGCTCAGTATGTTATATACATGATCTCTCGTTATCCCAGCAACTTTTGAGGTAGGTATCATCCCGTTTTACAGATGAGAAAACTGAGGCGCAAAGCAATTAAGAAAATGACCCAAGGTCACACAATTTGTTAAGTGGTAGAGGCTGGATTTGAATCCTGGTCTGACTAACCGTGAAACTCAACTGTTCCTCTTTCTCTGCTTTCCGTCTGCAGGGTCTGGGGACATGGCCAGAAGGGCTCTCAAGCTTGCTTCGTGGACCAGCATGGCTCTCGCCGCCTCTGGCTTCTACCTTTACAGTAACAAGTACTTGGACCCGAATGACTTTGGCGCTGTCAGGGTGGGCAGAGCAGTTGCTACGGTGGGTTTTTCTCATTTTGGGGGTGGCATAGGAAGTACAATATTACTTGCAGGTGTTCATACATGTAACAGATGGGCACACATGTGTGGGGATACATGTGAACCGTTACATGTGCAAAGCTCCCTCTCCACAGTTGCCCACGTGTGGGTGTGCACCCTCATGGACTCATATTTCTGTATGCACTACCTCTGCCATCCTGAAGTTAAATGGAGCGGGATTGCTCGGGGTCTCTGTTCTGAAGCCTTTACATTTTAGGTTGTGTATCTTGTTTTGGTGACAGACTCAGGGGGCCGTGCTCCTTAACAAATGCATGTGGAAAGAGGACTTGGCAGCTTTGATTAAATTCTACCAGAAAACTTGGTCTTTCTCCACTGGGCTAGTGTGAATTGTTCCTGAGGCAGGCTCATACTCAGAGCCTCTAGGCCTTGGAGAACTTTGGGGACCCCCTCCAATCCCCAAACTAACGGAGAATCTGAGTTGACTGTGTGACCATCGCAGGTTTTCTCCAGTGGCTCAGGAACATCGTTCTGGTGTGATCATGTCCTCTTAACTCTGCGGAAAGTGGCTCCCCCAGACGTGCCCATGAAATTGCCCCATTGCTGGGTAGATTGCCCCATGCTTCAGGCTTTCTTTCCTCCTTTGTGTGCTGCAGGATGAGCTCATCCTTTCCTCCCCTCAGTATAGATATTCTCTGATGCACAGTCTGTTTGCGTGGTTGTCTAACTATTTCCTTAGTAGTCAGTGTTGTCAAGTCTTCTCCCTGGCCTCGCTCAGAGGGAGGCCACTGATGTGGTGCCTGCCCGCTAGGGTCAGCTGAGTCATAGAATCAGGACAGACAAATAGATAAACAGGCTGTGGAATACGACTCAATTCCCAAGTGGTTACCGAGTGCCTTTTTTGGGCCCAGCGTTGTCTTATATGCTTTGAGGGGTAGAAACGACTGTCTCATCTAGAGCCAGCTTTGAGGGAGTTTCTGGTTGAGGATGCACACGTGAATGGGTCAAAAAACAACCTAAAGCCATGTGTTGGGTCAAAATGAGTGGCTCAGGTGACTGCTGCTGTGGGACCTCAGACACAGGAGTGAGCGCTGTGGGCTGGGAATCAGGATGAGTGCCCTAGGGGAAGCAGTGTTTGATGGAACCTGAGGGATTTGAATTGGTAGAAAGGAGAGAGGAAGGTATTAACGAGTGCTTTATAAACCAGCCACTAGGCTGTGCCTTCTTTAAAGGCCAGGGTCTGGTCTTGATCAGCAGTGTGCACTGCTCAGTGATGGTCATGCTGGTGGTTGGTGTTTAGCAAGTATGTGTTGAATGGGATAAAGCTTTAGGGGGTGCAGACAAAGGACAGACTCCTCTCAATGTCAACCTTGTAAGCCCTTAACTTCTAGGGGCCTCAGCTGCTCAGTTCTGAAAAGGAAGGTTTAGGCTAGGTAACCCCCAAGCCTCTTCCATGCCTGAGATATCTGAGAGCTTGTAATTTTCTGATTCATCAAGGATGAGGGGCCCTCTCCTCGAGTTTTGGCCGAGGGACCCGGAATCAAAACTTATGCGATCAGAGCAAACGTAAATATGAAATGATGTTTATTTGTGATACAGAGAGGTAGGATAAGTTTATCCAACAGCATTCATTCAAGTAGTATTTACTGAGCATTTACCTATGTGCCTGGCACTGTGAAAGGTGCAGGGGGTACCGTGATGAACCAGAGGGGCAAGCCCCTGTGCTTACAGAGCTGAAATTCTGGCGAAGTGGAGACAGTCCGTATACAAGGGAACAAATGAGCAGGTAATTTTGGACGGTGGTTTGTTATGATAAATAGTTGAGAGTTCCTGGTGGGTGGGGGCAACTTTAGACTGGGGCTCTTTGCAGAAGTGGCATTTGTGCAGAGCTCTGAATGACAGGAAGAAGCCAGCCAGGCTAAGATCTGGGGGCAGAGCACCTTAGGGGTGGCACTGTCCACTCCTCCAGACATACCCGCCTGTGTCGGGGCCTGCAGCTGCAGGGCGTGGGCACAGGAGTAATATTTGATGTCTGGGCGCTAAGCCTTTCTCTTCCTTGGTTAACAGACAGCTGTCATCAGTTATGACTATCTCACCTCCCTGAGGAGTGTCCCCTATGGCTCAGAGGAGTACGTGCAGCTTCGATCCAAGGTAAGAGACCTGTGGGACCCAACTGAGCCAGGCCAGGACTGGATAAGTCCTAAGTGGCTGCAAAGCCAGCAAGCTTCTTGTGTGCAGCTGGAGGTGGGCACGGGGCAGTGTGGGGATTGAGGCTGGGGGCTGGGGAGGAAAGAGAGGAGGACCATCTCCTCATTCACTCAGAGGTGTTTTAGTGCTGATGGGCTGGGCTGCCAGGCCGACATCAAGCTGGATCCTGTGGTACTGAGGTTATGAACCTACAAGGCACTGTCAGGGAGGCTGGTGTGTGTTTCTGGGGAGCGCAAGTCTCTGGGATGACTCAGGAGGGATGTGGGCTCTGTCCCTGAGATAACTCAGCCGGCTCCCGAACTGCTTTGTTAGGCAAAATCCAACTGAAGGAGGTTAACTGCTTTCCTGTCCTCTGAAGGCTACATGGGGGCCTCTTGTAGGCCTCTGAGTGGAGCTGTGGACCCCACACGTCCTGTCCTCACTTGGAACAGGGTAGTTGATTTTGATGCTATGTCTAGATGTCCCAGAGAATTGGGGGATCAAGCAAGAGGGCATTTTTGTGGATGTAAGTTGAGCTTGGGGTCAAGTGTAGATACCTTTGGTTCTTCCAGAGAGAAGCTTCTGATAGATCTGTGTGTCTTTGCTCAGCCTGGAATGTCTTTTGCCCCTTAGAAAATTCCTAGTCATCCTTCTGAACTCAGCTCGAACACCTTTCCTCTGTGACACCTTCCTTCTCAATTATTCTAGGTAGATGGAATAATTAGTTTCTAAATTTTTATTTAAACTTTTCATTATAGAAATTTCAACCATTAACAAGAGTAGAGAGAATAGTATCATGAACTCCTATGGAACTATCATCCAGCTTCAGAAATGATCAACATTTTGTCAATCTTGTTTCATTGACTCTCTCCTTTATTTATTTATTCATTAATTTAATTATTTACTACTTTTTGCTGTAATATTTAAAAGCAAATCTCAGGCATCATCTTATTTCATTTGTAGATACTTTAGTATGTATCTCTAATAGATAATGACCTTAACAAAAACTGAACTACAATACCATGATCGTACCTAACAAAATAACTAATTCCTTAATAACCTCTAATAGCTAGTCCATATTCGAATCTCCCTTGTTGTCCTCAAAATGTCTTTTTATAGTTGGTTTGTTCAAATCTGAATCCAAACAAGGTACATATATTGCGTTTGGTTTATGTTTCCTAAATCTTTTAAAATCTATAACATTTCCCTTCCCTCCCCCCTTTTTTTTTTTTTAGCTATTTGCTTGTTGAAGAAACCAGATCATTTATCGTATAGAGTTTTCCACATTCAGGATTTGGCTGATTGCTTCCTCAAAGTGTCATTTAATGAGAAATAGATTTGCCTGGTACACAATTCAAAATAGATAGTATTTGAACATACAAAATGATCTTCCTATCCCTGTTCCTCAGGTACCCAATTTTCCTGCCTGGAGGCAATCATTATGTCCTATGTATCCTTCCAGGGTTGTATTCCTATTTGAATTTAATCACACTATCTTCTATATTCTTGCCTCAGATGATAGTTGGTTACATGACTTTTTCTCTCTTTAGACTATAGATTCCTTTAGATCACGAATTGGGTCTTCTTTGTATTTTCTACCTCTAGCCATGATGCCTAGGACCGAGTTGATTTAATGTCTGTTTCAACGCCAGGCTGCACCCTGCTAGCTCCTTGCCTTGGGAGAGGCCCCAGAAAGAGTGCAGAGTTTGTAGTCAGAAGACCTGAATTTGTGCCTTGGCTTTGGGAATGTCATTTAATCCTTTGGAGCTGCCATTTTCCTTGTCTGTAGACTAGAGAGGGTGATGCCACCTACTGAGGATTATATAGCTAATATCTGAGACAGTGCCTTGTGAAATGTATGTGTAAAGCAGGGATCAAAAATAAGTCAGATGTCTACTAAAAGGTGTACTCCATGAGGACAGAGACTTGCTCTGTGCTGTATCTCCATGTCTGCAGCACCCACAACAGTACCCAGGACACAGTAGGTCGTGAATAAAGGTTTGTTGAATGAATGAATGAAATGTTAGTTTTTATTGGAAGATCTCAAAGCCCCTGCCTATGAGACTTAATGCCCCCCTGCTTTTCTCTTGTTATATTGTGGCGGCTGCATGTTGCTGTGATGCTGAAAGCTATGCCACTGGTATGTCAAATACCAGCAGGGTCACCCATGGTGGACAGGTTTTAGCAGAGCTTCCAGTCTAAGACAGACTAGGAAAAAGGACCTGGCCACCCACTTCCAAAAAATTGCCTATGAAAACCCTATGGATAACAACAGAGCATTGTCTGACATAGCACCAGAAGGTGAGAGGATGGCACAAAAAGACTGGGCAGGATTCTGCTTTGCTGTACACAGGGTCGCTAGGAGCTGGGATCGACCAGATGGCATCAACAACAACAACAAATCTTTTCCCTGCCCCACTTTCTCCATCTAACTAGTGCTATGGGCCTTGGAACCCATCAGAGTGACATTCTGCACAGATAGGTCCAGGCCAGGGCACAGGGGCAAGCCCACTGCAGAGCAGGCAGGAGGATGGGTATCGTGGAGACTATTGCCCTTTGTGTGTAAGTCAGCTGAAAGGCAGTGGTGCAGTGGCTCCTGGAGAAGTTGGCAGCTTTGAGGGATGCGGTAAGGAAAGTGCAGCGTGGCATTCGAGAAGAGGGCAGCACGTGGTGGCTGGCACCAGATAACAGAGTATAGGCTGGTCCCCGGGTTGTGCTTGGGAAGTGGGAGCCGGCTGGCACTAAAGAGCATGAGTAAATACTGCAGGAGTGTTTCCTTTCATCGGAACACTTATCCGTTCTTGTCTGCGTGACTGATAAAGGAGTGAGCGAAGGGTAAAACATAATTATTTCACTTGTCAAGCCAGTGTCTCCAGGTCCTGGAGTATGCCAGAGCCAGGAGATGAGCTTGGCAGGCAGCGACTTAGAGAAGCACTTTCAAGGTTGGTTCTCAGCTGGCTGGGATCTCAGTGACTCAGCTCTTCAGGAGGGGGTGGGAGCTCATGTGAAAGAGTGTTTTCTAGGAGTCCAGTGGCACTTTGCTAGGCAGCTGAAGGGGTGGGGCAGGGCCCAGATGCTTTGGAGAACCAGACTCCTGGTACCAAGGATGCCTATAAACAGAGATGACAGGTGTGGAGTGGTCTGTCCGTAAAGCAGAAAGAAGTTATGGCTGGTACAGACATCCAGGCAGTGGGCTGGAGGAGGCAGGACTGAGTTGATTCTGACCAAGGGATTGGGGTATAGTGGACATATAGGTGGTTTGAGTGGGGCTCACCACATCCTCAGCTCTGTGTGACTTAGGCTCTCAGTGGGGTCCATTCCTTGGGCCCTAGAGATTGATTTAGGGATGGGCATCTGAGCCAGTGCTGGCTAGTGAGCATGAGGTCCAGGACTTTTTAGGGAATAGTAACTGTCTTTTCTGCTGGGTTAGCTGACAGTATAGGGTATTGGCTTAGAGCTATTGGCAGCCATCTTGCCACCATGAGGGGAAAGCCTGCCTGTGAATGGAACCAGTGTTATTGAGAGATGTTGTTTGAGTCCCTAGATCAAGCTGAGCCTGAAGCTAGACTACCACTGGACTTTTTAGTTATGTGTGCCAGGAAATTATCTTTTTGCTTAAGATGGTTTGAGTTCAGTTGTCTTACTTGCAACCGAATGAGTCCTGATACCCTGGGTACTCTTGGAGAAGCATGCTGGATCTTAAAGCATAGTTAAGGTTTTGATAGTTCACAGGAGGACCAGTAACTCAAGGGAAGAAATGAAATTCAGAAATTCCAAAACTTAAAGAGAGTGAGGAGAGATTTGGATGGTGCTGGGCAGAATTCCAGCTATTTTGCACCTGGAGCCAGGTCCTTAGGCTCCTGGTCCCCCACCAAGCACCTCTGCTTCCCTGTCTGTAAAGTGATAGCAGTGGCCTTTGCCCCAGATGAGTTTGTAAGAACAGAAATGAGAAGCTTTACTAAGTTACAGACTGTGGATTATTTAATCCAGCCAGAGAGGAGATTCCGAAGCACAGTTTACTTCAGTGGCTCCTTATCATTTTATTTATTTATTTATTTTTTTTGTGAGGAAGATCAGCCCTGAGCTAACATCAGATGCCAATCCTCCTCTTTTTTGCCGAGGAAGATTCGCCCTAAGCTAACTTCCGTCCCCATCTTCCTCTACTTTATATGGGATGCCGCCACAGCATGGCTTGCCAAGCAGTGCGTCGGGGCGCGCCCGGGATCCAAACCAGCGAACCCCGGGCTACCGATGTGGAGCGCGCGCACTTAACCGCTTGTGCCACCGGGCCGGCCCCTCCTTATCATTTTAATGAGCAAGTTAGTGATTTTCTATATTCCTTATTTCTACATTTATTAATTGGAATTCTTGTATAAGAAAGAGCTGTCCCTTCTCTCTCAGTTGTTTATTTAATTATTTTTATCAGTATGAACTTATGGTTATTTATTTTATTCTATGGATTACAATCCAAAATAATCATTATTTATTTTTATTGCTCAAATTATTCCCACTTTGCCCATTGGGAGCTCCTTCAGGTTGGCTCCTGTGTTCTTTTGATATGCCCCCATCATTTTTCGAGTGCTATCTTATCTTTCTGGTACCACAAGATGCCCCAGGCTCATCTTGTGTTTTCCTTGCCCCAGCTCTGGAATCAACCACTTCTCCAAGGAGCCCTGGTTTCTTCTATTGAACAATGATATTTAGAAACCAATGTGTGGAGGCTAGATATGCATATTGCTGCTGGGGTGCCATTGTTTCCAGGCCCTCCCTGGAGACAGAGCTAGGAAATATATTTATGTGCACCTACTCATGCATACACATATCTATTTGTATATGTTCAGGGGGCTGGCCTGGTGGCGTAGTGGTTAAGTTCACGTGCTCTGATTCAGCGGCCTGGGGTTCGCAGATTCGGATCCTGGGCACGGACATACACACTGCTCATCAAGCCATGCTGTGGTGGCATC